CTCTGAGATATCTCCGGAATCGGCCACAGCGCTCCCGTCTGACCTGCAGGCTCAGGCCTGGCTTTCCCCCGTGCACGGAAGGAAAGCACAGCCAGGGGCACAGGCCGGTTTTCCTTCCTTCTTCTCTTCCCTCCTTCCTTCCTGGCTTCCCGTCATGCCCACCCCAGCCCTGAAGTTGGGTCAGAGCAGCGGAGAGATTCCTCGGAGGCCCAGCATTCTCGCTGTCCCTCCAGCACAAGAGCTTGCTCCTGCCTCTGACCCGGTGCCTTGGCCGGTCCCTCTGCCCGGAACTCACTTCCCTCGTGATAAAACTCAGCACCCGCCCACCCCAGCCCTGAAGTTGGGTCAGAGCAGCAGAGAGATTCCTCGGAGGCCCAGCATTCTCGCTGCCCCTCCAGCACGAGAGCTTGCTCCTGCCTCTGACCCGGTGCATTTGCTGGTCCCTCTGCCTGGAACTCACTTCCCTCATGATAAAACTCAGCACCCGCCCCAGCTGGTGTGGCTCAGTGGATAGAGCGTCGGCCTGAAGGGTCCTGGGTTCGATTCCAGTCAAGGGCACATGCCTGGGTTGTGGGCTCCATCCCCAGTGGGGGGCGTGCAGGAGGCAGCTGATCCATGATTCTCTCTCATCATGGATGTTTCTCTCTCCTTCCCTCCGTCTCCCTTCCTCTCTGAAATCAATGAAAATATATTTAAAAAAATAAACAAAATTAAAAACAAAACTCAGCACTCTCCCATCTAATGCTTGATCTGGGTGCTGGGTACAGGGGTGCTTTCACTTTGTGAACAGGCGGCAGGCACACTGTGTATTTATCGTTCATGCATTTCCTGTATGTGCCATTCACTTTTACAAAAGTGGGTGTGGGTGTCGTCTCAGACACACAGGTCAGGGGCACCAGGGGGAATCCATCACAGAAGGGGGGTTCCACGAGAGTGGACACCAGAGGCCACCCCACTCAGCACTTTCCACCCACGATTTTATTTATTTATTTATTTTTAATTAACTTTTTTAAAAAAAAATATATTCCACTGATCCTCCACAGAGAGGAAGGGAGAGAGACAGAGAGCTAGAAACATCGATGAGAGAGAAACATTGATCAGCTGCCTCCTGCACGCCCCCCACTGGGGATGTGCCTGCAACCAAGGTGCATGCCCTTGACTGGAATCGAACCTGGGACCCTTGAGTCTACAGGCTGATGCTCTATCCGCTGAGCCAAACCGGTCAGGGCAAGTTTTCCATTTTCTGTTGCTCCTCAGACACTCAGGCACTTACATGGGCAAACAATGCTAGCACCCGGGTGTGAATGTTGGAAATGAGGAGACAGCCTCCCCAAGCCATGGGGATCGAGCCCGCAACCCCGGCCCCGCAACCCAGGCATGTGCGCTTGATCAGAATGGGGCCCGGGACCCTTCAGTCCGCAGGCTGACGCTCTATCCACTGAGCCAGACCAGCCAGGGCCCATCCACTATTTTTAAAATAGTGCCTCCCATCACCTGAATCCTCCTCTTGCTAGCGCCCACCCCTACTGACCTGATGTCATGTTTGGATGCGTGTGTCTAGTGTTGGTTTCTCCCCCTGTGGCTGCGAGCTGGTGTTAGCAGTCACTTCTGCGAATGATGGCCAGCAGCTGTCAGCGGCCATCTGCGTTGCAGGTAGTTATAATGGAATAAAATCTAAATCCCAGTTCCTCGGTCCCACTGGCCATGTTCAAGGGCTCCACAGCTAACGGTGGCCGGGGCTTCCCTGCGGGGCAGAGGCCGTTTCCATCACGGCAGGAAGTCGGACTGGGTGGTGCTGGCGCTGCACTAGAGGGCGCCTCTGAGGGCAGGGACCACCGTGCGTCTTCTCTGCTGCTGCACCCCCAATGCCCCCAGAAGTAGTTATTGAATGAATGGGCAAAGGAATGAATGAATGAAGGAGTGAATGGATGAGTGGGAGGGTGAATGAATGCATGAACCCACTCCCTCCGTCCCCCTCCCTCCGTCCCCCCCCCCCTCTCCCCACCTTGGCCTCAGGGTCCTTGTGGAAGAGCCCCTGGAGCACGCGCAGGGCGTCGATGACGCTGTGGTCGCGGTCCTTGCAGTAAGAGAGCAGGCGGTGCACGTCGGCCAGGACCAGAAACTGCTTGGAGATCTTGTTGGTGGTGCGCACCGGCAGGCAGGTGTTGGCCAGCAGGCGGCCGGGGCGGAAGTAGTAGGCGAACTCGATGGGGCAGGCGGGGTGCGAGTGGGTCAGCCGGCACTCCGTCACCACCAGGCGGTCCCGCAGGGGGCTCAGCTTGACGATGATGAAGGCCGGGCAGCCCGCCTCGTGGTGCCTGCGGGGGAACACACGGCCGCCTGCACGTCACCCTCTGCCCTCTGCTTCCCTCTCTCTCCTTCTCAGCGTTATTTTTAAAAAGTAAGAATGGGCCCTGACCGGTGTGGCTCAGTGGATAGACCGTTGGCCTGCGGACTGAAGGGTCCCAGGTTCGGTTCCGGTCAAGGGCATGTACCTTGGTTGCAGGCACATCCCCAGTGGGGGGCGTGCAGGAGGCAGATGATCGATGTTTCTCTCCCATCGATGTTTCTAATTCTCTATCCATCTCCCTTCCTCCCTGTAAAAAATCAATGAAATATATTTTTTTAAAAAGTAAGAATGGTTTCAAGCACAGGGTACAGTAGAGGGCCCTAGGCATACGCCGGGTGCCCGGCTTCGGGCAAGTCACTTCTCCCGTTTTCCGAGGGAGGAAACTGAGGCCCAGAAAAAGTGAGTTGCAGCCTCAATGCCATCGGCTAATCGGCAGCAGAGCCATGGTCTGCACCCAGAAGTCTGCGCTCCCCATGCCTCCTGAAACAGCTATCGTTTACCCAACCGCCCTGAGTTCCTGCGCATAGTGTGACGGGAACCTCCCAACAGACCCATGCGGTAGGCACGGTGATAGCCCCATTTCACAGATGAGGAAACCGAGGCCCGGGCATGTGAAGTCTGTTGCCCAAGACACCCACCCAGGGAGTGGGAGGAGGCCCAAGATGGGGTGAAGGCTTATTTCTAGAGATGAGTGGGGGTGTATCCCGCCTGGGGCTCCATCTGCATAGAGACCCCACCCTGGGGCACCTAGCTCAAGCAGCCGGAGTCTGTGTTCTAGGGACTCTACTCTTGTCCATGGCTCCCCAACCGGGGTCTCAAACTCATGCACCTACGGGGCCAGGCAGGCAAAGCAAGGAAGCGGCAGTGCCAAGCATGAGCAGCAGGGAGTGGGGGGGTCAGGGGCAAACCTGAGTGCCGGTGCCCGTCTAACTGGGGTGGCGTTTGCCACGCGGGAACGTGGGCTCCGCCTCTCTCTGCTTCACGCGGAGCCAGAAACTAAGCTTCTATGGGGAACGTTCCCAGTTTAAAATTGGGGCCAATTGAGATACTCTTTGCCATCTGGGCGTGTTTCTCTCTCTCTCTCTCTCTTTTTAAAATGTATCCATTGATTTCAGGGAGGAAAGAGAGATAGAAATATCAATGATGAGAGAGAATCATTGAGTGGCTGCCTCTTGCAGGTCCCCTACTGGGGATCAAGCTGGCAACCCAGGCATGTGCCCTTGACCGGAATCGAACCTGGGACCCTTCAGTCCACAGGCTGACGCTCTAGCCACTGAGCCAAACCAGTTAGGGCCCAGGCGTGTTTCTTAGCTCTCTTGGGTTTCTCCCTTGCCCTGCCCTAACATGATAGTAGGAGGGAGTTACAAGTGGGTTTGTTCATACAACGTCCATCTTCCTGCTCAGTCTGAAGTTCCAGACGGGCAGGGAATTGGTCTGTCTTGCTCAAATAACCACCTTCCGCCCCTGACCCCCCCAGTGAAATATCCCAGCCCAGCCCGGGGCCTGGCCCTGTATTTCCTGAATGCATGGATTCTTTTCTCTGTCCTGTGGCTTTCTCTGCAGCTCTGTCTCTGACCTCCTTGTATGAGCACCAAAGCTGGCTTTCACCTGTTTTTCTGGCTCTGTCTGGTATCTCCGGCTCCAAGTTTCCATGTTTCTGGAATTTGTTGAATCTTTTTTCCTTCTTCTGTCTCTTGGGTATCTATCATCAGGACTGTAAGTAGAGCCCGTCCCGCCTCTCACTGTGCGTGACTTTGTCCCTCCAGCGCGCTCTCTCTCTCTCTCTCTCTCTCTCTCTCCTCTCTCTCTCTCCTCTCTCTCTCTCAGTAAGCTTCCCTTCTTGACCCGCTCCGCCTCTCTACAAGGTATATTTAGCTTACTTATTTATTTATTTTATTTTTAAAAAAATATATCTTATTGATTTTTTACAGAGAGGAAGGGAGAGGGATAGTTAGAAACATCGATCAGCTGCCTCCTGCACGCCCCCTACTGGGGATGTGCCTGTAACCAAGGTACATGCCCTTGACTGGAATCGAACCTGGGACCTTTCAGTCCGCAGGCCGACGCTCTATCCACTGAGCCAAACCGGTTAGGGCAATATTTAGCTGTTTTAGTTGGCATCTCTCGCTCCCAATCTCTGGGTGTGGGGCTCTGTGCGTACCCCTCCCCCTTGCTTCCCTCCCCCCTCTAGCACGCAGCAGGGTGGCGGCTGAGCTCACTTACCCCATGGCGGGCCGGCTGGGAGCACGCACATCCTTGCACACCAGCCGCACGTAGCTGTACTTGAGCACGTCGATGAGTGTGTACAGGGGGGGCAGCCTGGCCCAGTGGCAGCGGGTCAGGTGCATGGAGCTCTGGATGAAGAAGAGCGCCAGCCGCTGCTGGCACCAGGCGTCGAAGAAGCGGCTGAACTCAGCCCAGGAGAAGAAGGCCCGTTCCAGCAGCTCCTGCTCCTCCTGCTCCTCCTGCCCCACCACCAGGCCCCGCGGGCGCTCCATCCTGGGGCACCTGAGTCAAAGGTGGGAGGACGTGTGCCTAAGGCCGCAGACCCACCCCCACCGGAGGCATCCTACTCCCTCCACTTTAGACCTGCCTCTTCCGTGCTGGTGCCTCTATGCAGCTGGGGCATGGCGGGGGGGATACAACCCCATTCATTTCTAGAAATAACCTCCACCCCATCCTTGGCCTCCTCCCACCTCCTACACTATCCACGGACGGCTGGAGCCTGTCATCCTGGCCCCTCATGCCAGCTCTGGTTCCCTCCTGCGTAGATGGGGCCCCGAGGTGCAGTTGGGGTCCCTCGCCCAGAATAGGACTCTTAAGCTCGGTTGCGGACACTTCCTCAAGCAGGTTCCCAACTTCCAGCTAAGACCCCGCCCCCCATGTGCTCCTACATGTGGCAGTGCCCCCATTCGCATGGAACTCTCCCCTCCCGTGTCTCCGCGTGGCTGTAAGCTGTGCCACACCCCTGCAAAGGTGTCCCACCTCCAGATGTGCTCCCACATGCCGCCGTGGCCCCCTGCCCCGGGTCATATTCTCATACACCTGCAGCTGCTGGCCCTTCCCCAGGCGCAGCCCCTATGGCCGCCTCGCCCAGCGGTGGCCCCTGTTGCCTGGAAATACTAGCACGTCCAGATGTCCTCCCCACAGACAGCAAGTCCTCACTCCTCACGGGCGTGTGCCCCACTCCCTGTGGCCAATCTCAGAAGTGTCACTAGTATTCGTCTGTGTCCCCC